GCACCTCACTTTGAGCGTGTCTACACACAATTAATTTGAAGCAATAAACTCCAGGGCATATCGTGCCGTGTTAATGTAGTAGGTGCAGTACAGTTTAGCATTTGTAAGCCCTTTCACTCTGGAGACTCGTGACTGGTGCAGTATTGAAAGTGACTCAGCAACAGTATTTTTGAAGCAAACATTCTTTCACCGAAGGTCTAAGATGCAAAGTACAAAGGTAAAAGGCAGTAAAAGACCTACATGCTGTGTTTTACACTTTAATTTTTCCTTGCCAGTGTTTTCTAAATTTCTCTAAGTCCAGCAAAACTCATCTCTGGCAGGGGGAGACCAGCCTGCTTACAGGATTCCCTGGCTTTATTCTCTTGCCACTGAGCTTTCCCTAGGCAGCCTATGGACCCTCATAGAACTCTTTATGCACTAGTGTCATTGCATAGTATGTTGCATACAAACAGACATGCATCATTCTTTAAAAAAAAAGCCAGTTTCCCACATCATTGTGCACCTTAATAATAGTCTCATTCATGGACAGACCAAAAAGTTGACTTGGTACATGTAGAGTTTTATTAAAGGAATCAAAAGAAATAGTTGCACTTAGTTTACATAATGTTATGACTTTTTATAATTATCATCCTGTCTTCAAGTGATGAATCTGTGCTGAGAAAATACCCTCAGGAATACAGAAGATTACTAATGCGTCTTTTCTTATTAGAGTTGTGCTTACAATAAATACTTTTTAGAGAGAAGATTAAACAAAAGATTAAGGGTGTCTTTACATGTGCTTGGGGATGGGGGATGCTTTAATTAGAGCAGCTTTGGGGAGCAGCCTCAGCGTTTCATGTGTTCAGCATCCTGCACTCCAAATTGGCGGTGGGGACGCTTCAACTAAAGCTTGCTCAACGAGCTTAAATTAAAGTGCCCCTGTTGCCATTTTGAAGTGAGGGGATGCTGAAGATGAGTGATGTGGAAGCTGCTGAAGCATGCTAATTAGGACACTCCAGCAAACTCAGTTAATCAAGTCTGCTCCAATACATTCTTTTCCCCGCTACCCCACACACCTCATTTCCCCCCCAAATGACAATACTTGTGTTTTTGAAACTCAACACTTACTTCAGTGTACTAATGTATCTCCAGAATATTGAAGCGCTTCCCAGGAAAAGAATAAATATTAAACAAAGAATACCTATAGAACATTTGCAGGCATTGCCAATTTGGATTACAATGACCAAAGTTTTATGTGAATTACTATTTTCTGTGGCTGAGATAAACTGGTATCTATCTTATTATTTGGTCTCTTCTGGAGGACAGCAGCAGTATCTTCACAGTGTTAGTGCTTGTAGTCCATAGTTCTACCTCCCAAATCCAAATCTCATTTTGGCTAGCTGTAAAAATCTCTATCACATGGTATTCTACTATAGCATAATATTACATCTGGATGCTAATTACATTTTCAGGTCTGTTCCTTTGTTTATCCTTGCATCTAGACCTTCCTTCTGCTCTTCTGTCCCAGGTGACTTTCTTTTTCAGTTCTTGGTGGTAACCTAAGATGGCTTCTGAAAATGCTGGTTTGTCCTGTTTTGTGGATATTTGTTTTATGATGCTTTGTCTTAAGGAATAAGAGCTTTAGTCAGGATAAAATAAATGTTATATTTTGGGAATGGGTATGTTTGATCAGAACAGTCAGTTACCTACAACCTTTTTAATATTAATTTAAACGCTAATTTTAAAGGACTCGTGGTTTGGACACAGGCTAGGATGATTCCATATTTTTAAGTGGATTATTTCCTTTAATAACACAATAACTTTGGTCATATTTTATCATAGACATAAGGAAAACTCACAATTTAACACATGGTTGAATACTGGGGGGCAACACCTTCAAAGGAGTAAATGGGAAGGCACTCAGCTCTCAGATTTCTTTTTTCAATAGCACTTAAATAGTTACTTGCCCTTTGTAGCTTTTGAAAATCTCCACTGAAGACTCTCTTAAAAATAAACATCAGCGTGGTGGAAAAATGTGAGGGTATAGGGTAATTCCATAAAAAATATATATTCTATTCCTTTTCGATACTTTAGGAATTCTTTCACTCAAGAATATGCCTTGCATTGGAGTAGTAAACACTTTTCCTTTGTTTTCATGGGCCTGCTGTTGCTTAATCCCATATTTTTTGCTAATAGCAATTATATATGCACTTATTTGTATTTCTGTTTTTATTAATATAGCTAAGACATTTTTTACATATAGTGTATTAACTCCTCAAAGCTTTTCCTGCTCTTACTAATCTGACAACCATCTTTATTATATGCATTTTGAGCCAGTACTACCTGAGGTCTTTGCATGACTTTTATTTTTAAATAGAAAATAATTTTGAATCTTTACCATTAGTACTTTACTGAAGCAATATCCTATTTGGTCAAGAAAATCCATCCACATCATTTCTGATAATGCCATGCTGTATGTAACTTGGCACACACATTTAGCTGTTGAAGGACAAAACTCTTTCTTAGAATGAAACCCTCCTCATTTCCTGGAATAACTCTTGATTCAGGGCTAAACGTGTGTTTATACCCACTGACATTTGCTAATACCAGAAGGAAGATCATGAAAAGATAATAAACTAAGAAAAATAGTGGCCTTACTTACCCAGAGGAAGCAGATTTTCCTGCATTGAAGGTCAGAATTCAGCAATGTAGATATTTACTGTGTATAGATTCCGCCAAATGACTGTCCAGTAGTTGGAAGCATAAAATCAGACGTGTACGATCTAGAGACTAATATTGATACAGTTTTGTTCTTACATTGATTTTGGCCATATTTGTATCAGTGTAGTATGATAGTTTTGGTCTGTTTTCAGATTGCTGTTTATTGCCATACCTTATTAAGGACGAGAGAATGAGATGAGATTTGTCTACAAAATTGATGTGAATTTTCAGCTATCTTAAGCACCTTTTTATTTGTTAGCACCTCTCATTTAATCTGACAGATTGAGAATATTCTAGCTCTGTGAAGTTGTTATTCCATGTTTTATAATAGTTTCATAGGGAGAACTTGCATAATGTGGTTATAAAAATGCAATGATTAAACAGATGTTTCCAACATTAAAATGGCAGATTTACATCATGGAAAGAAGCTTTACTCCAAAGCTTGGAAAACATAGGGCTTCTGATATTTTAATTTTCTTCATATTTTTCCCTCCACAGTATTTGAAATTCATCAGCTTCCATGAAAAATGTTGAATCTAAACAGGCTTTTTTTTTTTTTTTTTTTTTTTTTTTTTTTTTGCATATCTGAGTGCCAGCTATTGCTTTTTAAAACAATTTCTCTCATTAGGTAGAAGAAGTAAGCAACGGATATCATTCATGTATGAACAGTAGAAGTATTTTAACCTGCTATCATTATTGTCTGGGTGTTAATCAGTAGCTAGAAAAAGTCTTTCCTTTTTTGCTGCCCCCTACGGAAAAAAAAATCCAAAAAAATCTGAAATACTACAGTTCCTGCATTTATTGCTTATGGCCTCCCTTAAATATTAAACTATTCTTTGTTAATTTCAAGTAAACATCATTAGAATATCAGGGGCCATTTCATTTCATGTCTGATCAGAGTTAAATGGAAAAATATTATTTATTCTGGGTATTTTATAACTTAGTTACATAGCTTGAAGAATGGAGATATACAGCAAATTCATAATAGAGTAGCTTTATAAAAACTTCATACGTAGCTTCATGAAAGCTACTTTGCAAGTTGGTGTTTACCTACTCTAACATTCTAATTAATTTGTGTAGATAGTGTTTCAAAACCTGTGAAAAGCAATATCTTTTACCCAAGGTATATTTACATTAAATAATGTCTTGCTGTATGTCTTCTTAGTTCAGTCATTTTATGTTAATGCTTTTGGCATAAATCACAAATATGCTTCCTCTTGTATCCTTTATTATAATTATATTTCAGCCATATGCTGTAGGCCTGTGCGAATAGGGAAGTATTCCATTTGGATTTGGCAGCCAGCGATTCTCATGAAGGGTGGGGCCACACTAATCATATGCAACTGGCTGAGAGAGGGGGCACCACGGTGAACTGTTTGGGGCCCTGTTTGGAGATGTTTGCCAGATATTTAAAGTTGATGAAGAAACAGGAATCATTGGAAATGGGAAAGAAAGGTGCAACTTGATTGTGGGAATGAGAGGAGGTCAAAATGTATTCAATGTAGTGGCTCACTATGACTCGAAAAAGAGTTGGTGTTGAGGGGTACTGTGCTCAATGGGCACTATCACATATTTTATTCAGATAGGCTATACTATTTTATTCTTCTGGTAGTAGCAATTTTGGCATCAAGGGAAGGGTGTCAGGGCTGGGTGTGGCTCTTCCAGTGCTGGCCTGGTATTGCGCTACCTCCAGGCCTGGTGCCAGTTCCCTGCAGAGGAAATGCCTACCAGTTTTTTTTTAAAGGGCTTTTACAAAAAACAGTGGTTGCATTTGATCAGCTTCATAATTGGTTTTCGTTACTGAGCACATGCTGCTTTTGGCGGCAGTTTAACAGTTGACAATGTATTTAATGAGGTTTTCTTGTATTTGAATGTAAGACGAGAGACTCTTTTCCACATGCTGATGGGGGAGGGGGAGGGAACTGTCTCTTGTATTCAAGTAAATATGTCAGTTATAGGGTAATGCGAAAGCCCAGTGGTGCCTTATTGAGTAAAGAGAGCCAACAAGTACAGAAAACCTGTCCCATGTGACACAGTAACTTGTTTCAGTTATGTGTTTTTGGGGGAATCGGATGAAAAAAATATAAATGCATGCATGTAAACAGAAATATTTAAAATTACTATAGCACTTTGCATCTTCAGTGAGAGAGACTAATATGAATCTATGATAGATATAGCCTAAAGAAATTAAGCTGTGTTTTTTACATTAAATAGGCATTGACAGATGTATTGTATTGTGTAGTGCTATAGAAATTGTATTACAACTGACTAGTCTATGCAATTTTTTCTTTTTGCAACAGGATGGAGTAAGTATGACTTGTGTGCAGTGCTGGTTTTGATGCATGCTATACCTTAATATACTCTTTTAGAATTCTGCAGTTTTGCAATCTTGCTGGGAGGGACAAGATTTGATGTGGCTGGAAAAAAGTTTGGAGATCAGTTTTGATTTTGCTTTAGCTTATACCCAAATTGAAATGAATAATTTGTGCAACTTCAGCTCTTTCTAATCTGCTTGAGTGTGTTCTTAATTCTAATTTTAATACTTTAGCAACCATCTGTTTAAATTTGTTTAGAAAATGTACTTTTATATCTATGAAATATTTGTCAGCATAATTTATGCTTTATAGGAATTGTCTGGCAAATTTGCTTAATAATATGAAATTTTTTGTGTGTTTAATTATGCAAATTCAATCCTCCCAAAATCTTTAAATACAGTAATACTAGCCAGTAAAATAAATGAAACGGTCTTTATTAAAAAGAAAAATAGACATACCTGAAACTAATTTTACATGTCTGTAAGTAACATTGATCTCATATA